CGCCGCTCCGCACCGGGAGCGCGGCACCTGCGTCACGCTGCGCTCGGTGTCCCCGGGCTGGAACCGCTCCCGCTCCCTGCCCTGCTTGTGCTCGCCACTAAACTTTTACATGCTTCTAAACTTTTTTTTCCACTACCTTGTATATTTTCCTGTCCCTGCCAGGGCCCGAACCTGATTATAAACCAGCCCGACGAGCTGCTGGAGAGCATGTCCGAGTGGTGCAAGGAGCATCACGGGAAGGTAGAGCCGTTCTGTGCCCTGTGCCATGGAATGACGCCTAATTCCGAGTGATCCGCTGCAGCACGGCCGCCCGAGCACAGACAGCTCCTGTGCTGAGCGCAGGGCTTGAACGACAGGAGACAGGATCAGGCTTATTTTGTATTGAGGAGCCTGTGTGGAATGTTTTGCCCAAGGTCTCCGAGTCATCTGCGGCGCAGTTCAGACTGCGCTCGGGGATCTTTAGCCTTCAGCCGCCTGTGCCTCGCAGCCTGCTTTCTGATAAGTTGGAATAGTGCTGGAAGCTGCTTCCCGGTTTGGGAGTGGAAGCATCAGCACAGCACAAGAGCAGTGAGGCTCTCCTGGGAGGGCTGGAGCAGGCAGGGGGGCCAGAACGGGATCTGTCGCTCAGGGATGCACCACTGGCTCGCATCTGCCAAGGCAGGGGCTCAGCCTCCTTTCTCCCAGTGTGAGGTTGAGAACTGGGGTTTGGCTCCTTGTCCTCTCACAGAGCTGCTGGCCACCTCCTGCCTCTGTGGGAGCCCTGGTGCAGGCTGGGTTGGGTGGGCTCCTCTGCTGAAGTCTCGCAATAAATAATTCAAAATTTTTCCAGTGGGGAAGGGGAAGGTGAAGCTTGAATGCCTGAGTAAGAAGAGGTGCAGGATCAGTGCACAGTAGTTCAGAGCCCGTCAAATGCAGATTTCCTCTGCATTTCTTCTGCATGTGGGATTAAACATCCTGTAAACTCTGGGCTTTTGCCTGTCCCCTCAGTGCTGTGAGCCTTGTGGATTTTTTCACTGAAAGCTTCACTTTTGCAGGAAGAGATTATTTTTAGTTCTTTGGGCCACCAAAGAAAGGTTCCTGCTTGCCAGCAGCAAGAGAGCAAATGGATTTTCCAGTCCCTGATGATGAATTGAAATTCAAGTTAGTTTTCAATTAAGGGCTGAAGTTTTAAGACATCCATAACCCCCCCTCCTCCCCCTTCGGCATCTTGCTCTCCCTGGGAAGAATTAGCAAGAGTTTGGAAAATGAATATTAATTTACTGTGATGGGTGCTTTTCCCTGCTCCAGTCGAGGATTCCAGCTCGGCTTCAGCTCGGGAGTGAATTGGAGATGGTAGCATGCGTCCTTGCTGCTCCTGAGGAGCTACTTATTTTTAATTGACTAAGAGAAGAGAAGCAATTAGAATATAGATGAAAATGCTGCCACATAATGAATTTTTTAACCACCACTTGGATCTGTCAAGTAGATTTTTGCTGCACAGTCGTGGAAATATATAGCGTAGCCAGATGGAAATAAATCACTGAGAACACTTGGAGAGGATTTGACATTTAGCTATTGAAAAAAAAAAAATAAGGGAGGAACTTTCTTGATTTATAGGAATCTTGATAAACCCTGAAGGCAGGATCCTGTTTATTTGTGTTCACTGGTACCTGCTGCTCCCTGCTGGGGAGGTGAGTGCCTCTCCTGAAACAGGGATATAAAGGGATGTAGCGTTCTCCTGGCTGAAGCATTTGCAGGTGGGTAAACAACGCCTCATGTCTTGGTAACTGAAAAGAACTCTGAGCAAAGAAATCAAAAAAAGGGAAAGAAGAAGCTCTGAAGCCCACAGGAAGGTCAGTGCTGTCAGGACTATTTACCTGCCTTGGTTTTCCTTCCCAAGCAGGAGGTCCCTGGGGAGAGTAAAGGCTGGGGGTGTCCCAGAGAACTGAGATACAGAGTTCAGGAGGTACCTGGGGAGCAAACAGCACTTGAAGGGTTGACCTTTCACTGCAGAGTTAAACATTTACTTGAGAACTGGAGCATTCCTGGTAGTGTCTGTGACAGGGTGTTCTTGATTTATGACTTGGCTCTTTTTTTGCAGTCTGGCCTTACTAAGGCTGTGAAGGAGAGTAAAATCTCACTGCAGCAGGCAGAGTACGAGTTCCTGTCCTTCGTGCGGCAGCAGACACCCCCGGGGCTCTGTCCTCTCGCAGGTGAAGCATCTTTCTTAACTACAACATTGTCTGTCCTGCACTCCCAGCGGGATCAACACCCACTGGCACGTGTGGCAGGAATGTCTTCCTGCTCTGTGCTGTGTCTTCTCCTCCCCTTTTGGATACTCCTTTTGGGTATCCAACCAAAGGCCGAGTAAGGATCTTCCAGGTGTCCTGTTACCCAGAACTGCTTTCAGAATTTCATATATGATCCTGGGACAGGTGCTGAATGAGGTTAATACCAATGGCCACTTTCACTTGGCGGAAAACCCAATGCTGGAATAATTCTTTGATATTTATCTGTGACACAAATTGTGGCAGTAGTAACTGAGGAATTACTAGAGGTATTAATATTAAAGCCTGTGTGATGCTGCAATGAAAATCTGAAAAACCTTTACAATCATATTTGCTAGAAAATGGGATAAATGAGCTGCTTGTGAATGGCTTTTCTTCCCCTGTGATCTCTCCCAGCTCGCTCCACCTGCTGCTCGTTTCCATGTTGCTCTGCAATGTCTTTGAAGAAACATCTTGTTTGTGTCTTTGTAGGTAACTCTGTTCATGCAGATAAGAAGTTCCTTGACAAATACATGCCGCAGTTCATGAGGCACCTTCATTACAGGATCATTGATGTGAGCACTGTCAAGGAACTCTGCAGGTAAATGTTCCCCCCGTTAGGTGGTTTGAAAGGTCCCCTGGGATGATCATTCGTGCTGCTGGGGTTCTGCAGATCACAGCAGGGGGACTCTGCAGGGCTGTGGCTTCTCTGGGTGTCAGTGAAACCACGGTTCCTTCGCCAAATGTAGCCAACCCACAGCAGCCACCAGATTCGGTTTTGAATCCTTTTTCTTCCCAAGTGGCAATTTTTGTGCTTACAGGCGCTGGTATCCAGAGGAATACGAGTTTGCACCAAAGAAAGCGGCTTCTCACAGGTGAGCTTTGTGCCTCTGTCTCTGGCAGAGCAGGGCTTGTCCTGCAGAGAGCTCTGCTCTTCCTGAGCAGGACATGGGGCTCCTTTGAATTCCAGCATCCAGTGTCTGGTGCAGGTGGAGACTCTGTGCTTCTGCACCCTGTCAGATGTTTGTACTCCCTGTCCAAAGCCAAGATAGTGTAGGGAAAGGGATTATTAAATTATTATTAAAGGACCAGAAGTTTCCTCAGCCCTTCTGATTTACTCTGCTCTTCAAGGTGCATGTTTGTTGACCATGCAAACAGTCACTTAATGGGGGTTATCTGCCCCTTTTTTGGGCAGAGGTGGTCACAGAAACACAAAAATAGGAGAACTGTGAATGGGGGGGCTAGAGTCCTGTTCCTGCCTATTTCCTGAGCTTGGAATGTGGCAGAGAAGTAGTGGGAAGGAGCCAGGGAACCTCTGTGGCTCTGCTCTGATGTCTGTGCTGGCAGGAGGGAGGCTCTGGTACACACAGAGGAGGAGGAGGGCTGGCTGTCGCAGAGGTCCTGGCTGGAGTCGTGGCTGATGTGCTGCTGCATTGAGCTGAGCCCTGGGTATGCCCTGGCTGGAGCTGGGCAGCTCTCTGGAACCCTCCTCTCTTCTCTGGGGTTGAATTGTTTTTCACAGCCGATGCTGCAGACCCTTTGGTTTCCAGCAGCTGTGTCCAGGGTGACAGAAACTAAATCAGCCGTGTGTTCCTCTGTGGCACACTGGCACCACTGGACTTTTATTGCTATTGAGACAATGAGGGTTATTTTCATTTCTGACAGATGCACCTTCCATGTGCATTGGTTTGGTTTCCTGCAGCCTGGAAGTTTTCAGAGGCATTAGGATCTGGGCATAGCTGGAGATGTACCCAGGTGCTTTGAAACCTTCCTTAATTCTCTTTCAGAGCACTTGATGACATCAGGGAAAGCATCAAAGAACTCCAGTTCTACAGAGACCACATCTTCAAGAGGAAAACGGATGAGAAGAAAAGGAAACTGATTGAGAACGGGGAAAGTGATAAAGCTGCCAGCTGATTTCCCCTCCCGCCACACCAGCCCGTAGCACACACTAGATGCGTCTCCTGGTTCTTTTTTGTTTGCCAGTCTCTTGGGAAGCTGCACCCTGGGTTACCTTGTTTCTTACCAGCTGTTCAATGCAGACAGAAGCCTGAGTTACTGCTGCTTTTCAGTTTGGGCGGGAATCAGCACGTTGGGCCTCAGCAGCGCCCGGGTTGGGATGTTCTAAAACACGCTGTTTGATACTCCCTGCACCTGGTTGTAGGTGCAGTCTTTCACAACACAATAAAACAGTTGAAAGATTGTGGTTTTGGACAGCCTTTCTTTGGTGCTCTCCACGCTGCCAGGTGAGCTGTTGCTGGCCTCCCCTGGGCTGTCCTGGGGCGGGAGCTGCTGGCCCATAAACCAGAGGGTGTAATGGAGCGCGGGATGTGCGGCTCCCGGGCATGTTTTTATTAGGGGCATTAATAATAATGGCCATCCAGGGCTTCTCGATCCCACTGATTGTTGGAACACCTGCTCTGCCAACCCTGGGAATGATTGTTATTGCAGAGAGGCCGTTAAAATGGTTAATGGGGCAAATAAATGAGTCTGAAATGTCTCTCTCCTCTGTCACCAACTCCCAGGTAAACTGGCAATTCCAGCGAGGTTTATTTTCTGTGTGGGCAGGCTTGGAGCAGGGCAGAGCTGAGGGACATCCCTGCACAGGGTTATCCACCACAGGCAGCACCTGCAGAGGTGCCTGGATGCCTCCCCGTGGATCTGCCGGGGCCCTGGGACAGGGCTGTGCTGCAGCTGAGGACACAAGGTTCCTGTTCACACGTGCCAGCAGCTGCCCAGACCCACATCACAGCCACGTGCCACCAGAATCCTCTTTGTCTTCCCTTTCCATGCTAGTTTCCTCCCCTTCCTTTGACTTCTTTCTGACCTACTTCTCCTGCTTTTCATATTTTATTCCTTGTTAAGATGCTTTTGTTTTTCTTGAAATGTTTTTAAGGAAAATATGCCACCTGTGTTTATACATTTTTAAATATTGTTTTTTCTTGCTTCTGAAGTAACGGTGCCGTATGGAGGATTTTTATCTCGTTTCCCTGTGTTATGCAATAGCATTTCTGGTTTTCTGTGCTGGCATCATTTGAGGTTCCAATTTAGTACAAATTTGTCACGCACTTGGCAGAGCACAGATAAACCCCACCAAAGCGGGTGTTATTTTGGGCTGGAAACAAAGCTCCCTCCTGCAGCAGGGGCTGGGGAGAGGGAACGGGCTTCACATCATTCCCTCTGTAGGAGCACTTACACCAGTTGTTTCCATGCTCTGAAAGCTCCATCAGCATCACACAGTCATGGAGGATCCAGATACAGGGGTGTAAATAACTCTCTTTTTGGACATGGTAGCTAAAATAATTCCTCAAAGGCAAATCCAGAGTGTGCCTGGGAGCCCTTGGCTCCAACCCCTGATGCTTGTGGGTGTCTCTCAGATTGAGATGGTTCACAGCACATTAAACCTGTAAGTACACAAGGAGCTTGCTCTGAACAGGAGCCCTCACAGCTCCAGTCACTGCCAGGATGGAGAGTTTCTCGTGTGGAAACTCCTTCCAGACATGAGCCAATTGAGTCTCCCATGATGGCAAAAAGAGCAACCAATTACCCCTCCCTCCCTTCTTCCCTCCCTCCTTCATCTTTTCTCTGCCCTTGCCTGCACTTCTCATTCTTCCCACCCATCCACACTGCACTATTTGGGTGCAAACCACAGAAATCAGGAAAAAGATCAGTTCATAATATACTTTTGGCCAGCTTCAGTGTGGTCTGCTCCTGTTGTCTTTTTCTAGAGAAATCCTCCTGCTCCCAGGCACAGCTGCTGGCTCCTCCACAATGGGCCAGAACTTCTGCCCTGTGGCAGCTGCAGCACAGACAACATCAGGGGGTGAAACAGACCCTCAAGCAACACCCCCCAGTTCTTTGGGGCTGAGCTGGGTGCTCAGAGGTGGCGGGGATGTGTTGGGGACCCTGTGCTGCCCACCCTGGCACGGCTGCCAGCGCTGCCCACTGGCCCTGGGAGCTGCTGGGCGCAGCTGCATCGGCTCAAGGTCGGCTGCAGAGAGCCCGGAATAGAAAACCTTCAGACATGATTTTTGTCTCCTTTTTTTCCTCCCACTGCCGCTGATGATACCCTTTTACTGGAATAACTCTCTCCTGCTGACAGATAAGCTTTTAGGGTAGTGAAATCTCTGTGACACTTTAAGTGCCCTAAATGACAAAACAAGGACGTGCAAGATTACCCTGCAACTACTCCGTAAAACACAACTTGTCAGGAAGTTGCCACAGCCTCCCAGGCCCCAGGAGGATGGGGCACCCCCGGCCCTCCCCGGACTGTCCTTCCAGCAGGAGAGCGAGCGGAACAGCGTGAGCAGAGAGAGGGAGAGGGGCAGAACAAGGTTAGAGTGAGGAAGAGCCCCCCAGGCCATGGGGACGGAGGGTCCCTCTGGAATCAGGGACTTGTCTCTCTGCCGCCTCCCCAGTGATGGATGGGATCCAAATGGCCATAAATTGCCGGGTGCTGCAGCGATGTTTTATCCCCGTGCCGGAGGAGCCGCCGGCACAGCGCGGTGCCACGTGCGGGGCACGGGCTGCCACTCACATGCCAAGCAGCATGGGGAGGGAGAGGTGACAGTCAGTGAGATCCATTCCCCAGCACTAACAGCAGCGGGGAGAGGAACATAAATGGGTGTGATAATGGTGCGATAGGGCCTAGCAGACACCGTATTTTGGAAAAGAAAACGATTACCTGGTGAGTCAAGTGGCACCTACTGACCCCTCAGCTCCGGGCACTGAGGGCAGGTTACAGAGTACAAATCCTTCTGCTTTCCTAAGACCAAGCTTTGCTGTTTACCCTCCAAATCCCCTTTCCTGGGAAGCCTTGGGGTAACTCTGTTCTCGAGAACACGCAGCCTGTGTGAGGGCACAGCTGGGGAAGCTGTCCTACACCTTCCCTGGACAGAGTGCTCTCCTGCACTGCACTTGCAAGGGAATAAAATCAGTGTCTGCTCCCAACCCAACCGACAAGACCAGAGGGAGGATCACGCTCTCCAAACTTTGCAGAAGGGAAATGAAGCACAGAGAGATGAAGTGACCTCCTTAAGGTCGCATGGGAAATTTGTAGCAGAGCCAAGAACCGAGCTGAGATCTCCAGAGTCCTCATCTACTTCTTCCAGTGTAAGATATTCCTTCTGCTTTCCCTCCAGCCAAGTTAAAAATAAAACTGAGTTTCGTGTCCCTTTGGCAGCAACGTGACTCCAGCAGCAGTCTGGTCCATGAGCTGCCAGGGCTGCAGCACCAAAGGATCTGCCTGGCTCTCCGCAGTGCCCAGTCATTTGGGGGGTGGCCACATGCCTGGGTGTATATTTGTGTGCATATATTAGTTATGTGGCACTTCCTGCCTCGTAATTAAATGGAACCTCTTCACAGGCCCCTTTGAAGGAAATCTCTGTTGGTTCAGAGAAACTTTCATCGCCAGCCAGTGCTCTGCAGTGTTTGCTCTCATTGTTCCTGCCAGTCAGGATAAAACTCCTCATAAGGACAGAGAGGGTGGCTCTGGATTCCCAGTGCCACCACACACTCACAGCCCAGCCCTTTCTCGGAGGGGAAATGCCTGTGGTGGGATCTGCAGAAAACCTCAGCCGTGCCCGAGGGCTGGGGAGCAGCGTGGGAGCTCCCCCGCTGTCCTCACTGTTGGCTCTGGATGTTTGTGTCCCCTCGGTGTCCCCACGAGTCCTTCCACCTGTCGCACGCTTGCATTTTCTGTGCCCGGCTCCCCACCAGCCCTACAGGAGCAGCGTTTCGTGGCAGGGCGTGTTCCCTGCCCCATCGCGGTGGGATGCTCCCCGCCAGCTGTGTCTGCAATACCTGTCCCTGCCCAGGTGCTGACACGCACAGCGCTGCTCCTTTACAGCCCGAAAAACACCAGCCAAGCCTTTCCTGTGAGCTGCCATTCCCTGGCGGCATCGCTGCTGTTGCTGCAGTCGGTCTTGAGGTGTCTCCCGAACACAGGAGCTGCGAGCAGGGCAGGAGGAGGAGCGGCTCCAGGAGGGAGCAGGGCTGGGGAGGGGATGCTGCACAGAGCCCACGGCTTTCCCTCGGGGGCTGTTTCTCCAGTCCAAGGGACGTCTGAAGGGTGCATGCTGCCTTTCTAGATACAATCCCTTGTTTCCACAGGGAAGAAGAGTTTCCTGCAGGAATTAGATTGTTTTGTTTTGTTTCCAGGGGGGACAAGCCCTGGCTGAATGCCCCTGTGGTATCTGCATAAGCCCAGGACTCGTGGCATGTGTCAGCACAGGAGACAAGAGTCCCACCTCTCTGATTCCCCCGTGACTGGTGCCACACGCTTGGTGTTCTCACTCCTGCCTTCCCCCTACCCTTGGGTCCTTGTCCAGGGCAGCAGTGCAGTTTGGAATGATGTTTTTGGTCTGTCAGCCTCTGCAGAGGACAGGCTGACAGGGCCCAGGTGGAAGGTACCAGCTGAGGAGCAAGCCCACAGCTCCACAGAAAATCCTCTTCCCATCCCCTGCTCCTGAGCACCCACCCAGGCAGCTTGTACAAGATCCGAGTCAGCCTGTGCTCATCAGAGTAGATAAATCAGGGCTAATAAAATGTCCCCCACCCAGAACAAGCTGTGATAAGCAAAGGAAAGGAGAGGAATGCATTCCTGGCATGAACAGCTGCATTTCTCTGACCAGGAGTGCTGCATGCACGGGATGCACTGAGGCACAGAAAGGATCCTGCTCTGGCTGGCTCTGACCACACCACGTCCTGCCTCACTGCAATGGGTCTGCTTTCATGTCAGGCAGCAGAAATGAGAACAATGTGCTCTGGGACAATTATTTCCCTTTCCAGAGGGACAAAGTGACTTGTCTTGGGGTCTTTTCTGTGTCCTCTGCTGTGTGCTCTAATTGCCCCAAGATGCTCTACCTGGAGAGAGCCTTAATACATAATTATATACCATTAGTGATGAGAATAACATGACAACTGCTTTGGATAATCACGGAGAGCACTGTTCCTGCCAGTCTCCTAGCTACCACAGCACACACGTATTTGGCTCAATTTGTACAAGAGGGCATTTTGGAAGAATTATCTGAAGCTGGAAATAAGAACAGCAGACACACAGTCCTGGTTTCATGGGACTCAGACAGAAACCAACGGGGAAATTCACTGCAAAGGCAAATCAACTAGTAGGATTTTTAATTTTTTAAACCCACCCCAATTAAGAGCAGAGGTAGTGTAGCCCGAAGGAAACCTTCAGAAGATTGC